TATGATCAGGAGGGGGAAGGGGAGAGGGAGAGGGAAAGGGAAAGGGAAAGGGGGGAGGAAGGGGAGGGGAAGGAGAAGGAAAGGTTTTATATGATGACTCCTTCGACGAGTGGGGATAGTCCGAATTCTCTTTGTCCGGCAAGTCATACGAATGGAACTCTTGTCCAGAGATTAGGAGGAGGAGGGGGAGGAGGAATGGAAAGTGGAGGTGAAAGTGAAGACCCGTGGATTACGCAACTTGCTGCTAGGAGGATTGAAGATAATACGATGGAACTTATTGAACATAGTTGTGAGTTTTTCCCCCCTTTTCTTTTATTTCTTCTTAACTCCCTCCCCTCCCCCCCCCCCAAAAAAAAAAAAAAAAGAGAGGGAGGGACTGACATAAACCACAACAGCGCAAACACTTCTCCGCGCTTTCCGATCTTGGCCAAGAATGTTGGCAAAAGGTATCCAGTTACCGCCGATAATCCACTTCTTTCAAGTATGCGATAACGGGATGCCGAGACATCTGTCTCGATGTACGACGTTGTGTAAATTGTGGGCTGGACAATCGGAGGATTCGGGCGAGATTGTGAGGGATGCTGTTTTGGGGGAGATTGAAGGGATTTTAGCAAAGGTATTGTCTTTCTTTCTCTTTCATGAGGGAAAGTGTGTTGCCAACACAGTTTTTAACGGTTTATCAATTAGTACCACACCTTTGACGCACCAACCCTCCTCTCAGCCCTCCAAAGCATGAACATATTACTGATATTACTCTTCTTCCCCTCGAACCGTCACCAATCATCCATATCCCCCGTGTCCAACTCCCTATTCACGTCTCTGCAGGAGATGGGCAACTATGTCCTCTCGACGGGAATGGTGCTCCACGAAGAAGCGAATAATACCTGTCCGCCCTGGCGCGTCTGGGCTCATATAGAGGCCAAGAGACGTACGTTGGTGTGTATCTATTTCTTGCACTGGTCGTATAGTGTGGCGCACGAGACGAGACATTTCAATTGTTTGCAGCTGGGGAAACTTTTGGCCCCCGGGCCGAAATATCTCTGGCAGGCGAATGATGAGTTGGTCTGGAAGAGGTTGTATGAGAGGTGGTTGGCTCAGTGGGGGGGGAGGGCGATGATTCAGGCCGAGTTCTTTTTGGTGGAGAAGGGGCTTGTGATGGATGAGAGGGTGGAGATGTGGTTGGAGGATGCGGATGAGTTGGGGGTTTTGATGATGAGTATTTGTGAGTTTTTCTTTCTTTTTCTTCTTTTTTCTGGATTTGTGAGTGAGTAAGTGTATGTGTTGTGTCGTACTGACAATTTGTCGTTTCTAGTGAATGCTACTCAGCGTGATTCGAACAAGATCCCAACCGAGGCCGATCTTATTGGATGATGGGGGGAACATGTTGATATAGTTTGAATGACTTGATAAAGATACCCGGTTCATTGGAATGAATCTTTTGTACTATACCTACCCCTTGAGATATATACTCATAAGAACAAGAACTATCTAGTGTCTGGCTTTATCACTACCACTACTACATGCTATATATACTAGGTTAAATAATACAGCTCGACACTCAAAATCCCTGCTGACCATGCCACTTCTTCTCCCAACCAGGGAAATAAGGGCTCTCTTCCAACGTATTCGGCTCCCAACCCTTTTCAATCATACCACTTTCTATTTGTTCCCTCTCATATTCTTCAAGAGTTGGGATGACGACATGTTCCGTATGCCACTACGATCCCGTCAGTTACCAATCATATCTAGCACTCCCCCCAAAAAAGGGGAAAAAAGGGGGAAACTCACCGTATTCTTATACTTCATAATCCTCTCATCCCCCCTTCTCAAAACCCGAAGCATCAAACTAGGCACATACGGCTCATCACGAAACTCGCTTACAGGCGTGAAGACAGCCTTGAAATTAAAGACCACGGCACCGGAAAGAGGCAATCTTCTCAGCGTCTGCCAATCCACGCGAAGATGTAAACGATCCCTCTCCAGACCGGGTTCTTGTGCGTAGCGGTATTCCTCGTGCGGATGTCCCGCCGGCATGAAGAGGGGTTGGTCGACTTCTAGACCCCATGACGCGCGCTGGATCGGCTTGTCGGTCGGCATTTTCGAAAAATACCTGTCCATACTGAACTGCATCTTCTCCTTGTAATCCGGTATAGGTCCGTGGATCTCGTGCAGCTTCATGCCGAACTTTGTGCTCAGATCCCATCCGAGCGCGGAACAGATCACCCCCGCCCGCAACACGTACATCCCCGTCTCCGGATCGCGCTGCATGAGGGCAAAGTCTTCGGGTACGTGGTTTAGAAGGATTAGTAACGGGTTAGATTTCTTGTCGCGGATATCGACGCGCACGTCGAGGATCTTGTTCTCGAGATGGCGGTTGTCGACGGATAAGGTAAAGTATTGCGGATATCGAGCGCAGAGGAATTGTACCGCCATTTCCATCACTTCCTTACATGCTAGTTCGGTCCCTGGGGAACATCGTAGGACGGAAGTGCCGTGTTGGGCGTAGAGGGCTTTTCGTTGCTGCATTCGTTGTCTGTATGTTGATTCTAGCTCGATCCACCAGTCTGGTTCGAGCTTGGATAGAGCTTGAATTTTTTTATTTTTTTTTGTGAGTCTGGGCTGGAGGTGACTAGGTACTAAATTAAGGAAAGGAAAAAGATGAGACGGATAGACATACACATGGTCTGGTGGTAAGGCCATCTAAACGGTCTATAGGGTCGTGGTAATGCCTTGTCGATGTCGAATTCCGGATAGGGGCTGGGTAAGGGGACGCCTGAGAGTGTGGCGTAATCGGGGAAATCGCCGAGGGCTTTGATTTCCCGGATCGAGAAACCCGAGTATATGTATTTCGATTCGTCTGCGGTGGTGTAGTCTTCATTGATATCTAAAAGGTTGCGAATGAAACTTTTCTTGGAAAATGTCGAGTCCGTCTTTGACAGTATCTTATTCAACTCGTCTCTTTGCGAGGGAGGAAATGTATTCGCGATATCGGAGATGTTCTTCTTAGAACCTGGTGTGCCTGGTTTAGCTACTATGCCGTCTTTTCGAAACAACACATCTTTGAGGCTCGACTTGGATATGACGTAGGTGATGATATATAAAGATAGGCCTATTAAAGGCCAGACGAAGGGCGACATGGCCATTATGGATGGGTTTGTGACTTCAACGGGGGGAAGCTGTCGTAATCTCTCTAGATCAGGTCTATACATTCAACTCTTTTATTTCCACTTGTGATGATTCTTCCTGGTATTCTCGATACCGACACACTGGAAGGAGACGAGTTAGTCGGACGAACTGGACATTTTCAAACTGGCTCGACAAAGTGACATATGTGGCGTCTCACCTCGATCATTAAAAGGGTTGGAGATATATACTGTTAACTCACAGTTATCCGTCAACCGTAGAGGTACGTGGTGCAACAGAACAAGAAATACTACGAGTTACATCCTACATAAATGCAGGTCACGAGATAAGAGTATCCCGTTATCATTCAGGTAAAGACAACTATTGGGAAGACCTAGCCAATTGGCATCCATCTACACCGAGCCCCGCATCCATCTACCGGTCCAGATCTCTTGGTATCCATTCCTTCGGGGAAGATATCAATCCTGGGTTGTATCGGCGTATTTCCTTTACTTTTTGGTGAAATCCCTCAATGTTCTTTTCCTTATATATGGGTGTGGGTCATGGTGAGAATGATGTTTGTGTTGTGTTCCATGTGATGGAATTGAGTCAGCGCAATACCCGTGCCTCATTTCATCGAGTTTTAGTTTGCTCGCTTTGCTTCAAATAATGTCAGAAAATCAATCATCCGAATAATCACCAAACATTGATTCCTTGCTTCACGAGCAGAAATTGTTGTTGTTGATGATCCACGTGAATGAGCTAGAATAGAGTCAAACCAGCATCTCATCTTTTGAAGGTAACAGAATGTATAAATGCACTCACTCGATGTTTGAAAACATATGTCTACAAAATGCCACTGTCCATATTCCAAACAGCACGAGAAATAATTTGAGCATCTTCCAAATACCACCTCTCTAAATGCCATCATGGAAGACTCGCGATACAGAAAATTCTTCTACTGGGGCTGTAGCATTCCCATCGACCCCCGAACCGGATTCCCATCCTCCACCGAGATAACCCACGTACGGAACTGCGAATGTCCCGAAGGAGGCGAAGAAGACGACGGAGTATGTTGGGTGATTCTCGAACGCGCCCACCACTTACACCAATCCAACGTCGTCAAATACATGATCCCCTGGGTAAACGACCTGACGCAAAGGATTGCCTTGAAGCTGGGCGTCGACTTGTGGCATGGTATTGATGAACTGCCTTTCTACGAGGATAAAATCCGCTGGGATGGTGATGTCTGTATCGAGGTCATCGGTCGTGCTTTTACCGATCAGGAACTCGACGCGCTGTATAGGTTGCCTTGGGATCAGGCAGCACGATGCGAGTGGGTTATATAATGTTTGTCTCTCTCTCTCTGTCTGTCTGTTGGATGATTTTGTATGGATTTCTCTGGATGATAACATACCTACTCGTAACCTAGACAGTCACGATTTGAATACCATCTTTAAAACGTATAATTCGACATACCCCTATCTCTCTTATTTATGCCGATTTTGGCTTTACGACGAGATGGATACCAGGGGAGGCAGGACGTAACAATGTAGTGATTTTACCCGGGGTTCACGAGCCGTAGAAGGAAAACCAAGTGCAGACTTGTCAAACTGGGAAAGCGACCACCGAGCTAAAGTACCTATGTATGTAGTTCAGCACAATGGGAATGCAAGAGCGACGATTCCGTAAGCGACCCCTAAGCCGCAGCACTTACCCTTAATTACGGGTCCATCGTCCCTGATAATTATTATCAAGGCCCGCAGTGGCAAGTGGGTGGTAGGTATCTCACCTCTGCCAGTCCAGTCAGCCAGTGTGGGCCGGGATATTAATACCTTATTTCCCCGGCAGGGTGGAAAACAAAGGAAAAAAAAGAACTCCGAATCGGGGAATCGAACCCCGGGCTTGACGGCACACGTTGTTCTCTCTAGAGAAACACAACAGTGAGAGCGTCAAATGTTAGCCACTACACCAATTCGGATTCTGGAAAATCATGGTATATAGGTGGAATCAAACCACCGATAGATGGACTCGCGGGGAATCGAACCCCGGACCACTCCCAGTTTTGGTTTTGCATGCATCTGCGATGCTAAGGGAGTATTATACCACTAAACCACAAGCCCGAAGAAGCTCACGAGAAACTTCTTAACCAATTGTTGGAATTTTCATTTGTGATGGGGGTATAAATGCTGGTCTGTGGTGTGGTGCAGGCACTCAGGCTTGACTTGTGTAAAAATGTACTCGTAGAAGAGGCCCGGAGACTGTGCGCTGTGCGCCGCGATAGGGCCGCGCACTAGTTTAAATTGACAAGCTTTTTAGTTCGCCTCTGTCTAAGCCCAATTAGGCTCGGACTATTACTAATCAGCAATGATTTTCACAAGCCCACGAGTACGACTCGCAACTTGCCCCCCTTGCAGTGGGTGAGTGTTACGTAATTGAACAGGGCTATATTTGTTAGTAAAGAATCTAGAACCATGTTTCAGCTTTTAAGCTCACTCTTTCAGTGGGAGGGGTTTGAAACCGCACTACGAGTACTCTATCAAGTAATAATAATTAATACATCTCCGGGAGCAGAGTACGAACCTCTCATTTTAACTTTCGGCTTGGCGGGCGGCCGACTCGCTGTCTTCTTCGAGGTGAATGACTTTGGATGATTTAAACAACAGGCCTATGATAGCCGGTCGCGTTCTTAAGCTATCATGGTTGGGGGGAGAATGCCGGCGTTTCGTCGCAGTTTCTGCTATGTATGCTCTCCCGTGATCCGAAAGCTATTGTTGTGGCCTGTGGAAGACGTCGTGTCGAATGACTTGCAATGTCATTTCAATGCAGAGCGAAGGCTTATGATTTCACCTCGAAACTTCGTAATATCCTGGTCGGCTCGCGGCAAGATACTTGACCGAAATACATGTTTAGCATCTTGGCAGGGGTTAGAGTAGGTCGGGTTTGCCTACTGATTTGTGTAGTTGCATATCTCGGCTAGATGATATTGACCTCTACTGGAAGGAAACATAGAGACCGAATATATATAAACGTTGGAGTTGGGAAGCCTGTTATCTTTACCTGTTCCTCATCTAACATGGTAGCGTGTTGCGTTTTCCCATCGTCGATTCGCCCCCCCTTCACCGCGGGGTTGTTTTTCCGGAGAACTTTCCGGTTGAATACCTAGAGGCTATCGGTCGTACGAGGCGTGGGGGTAGGTAGATCTCGAGTAATGGACGCTAGACAGCGTCGAGCGTCCACGTGCATACTACAAACTGCACTTTGGATAAGGTACCTACCAAACCCAAAGCTAATATGGCAACAGTAGTTAACAGCATCTAATAATATTCCTCGGTATCATACTCATACAGGGCTAACCCCCGTGCCACATGAAAGTATTTACCAAAGCAACTTTCAAAGCATTTATCGAGGAGCTGCTGCACACGGTCATCGAGAGGAGAAACTGGAGATTATTCTACATAGCGGCTCTACCTAATGCCCCAATGCCTGTAGCTTCCCTATATTTTGCGACATATTGCCACCTTCGGTGCACCTGCCCGACCTGGACCGGTTCTGAGCCTGACCTGGTTCCTTCCATTGTGCTTTCGTCGTTTCACGTTGGTACGTAACAGACACCAAAGCTGATTACATACACGAAGAAGGTAAAATGTGGCTGGTGTTTGTAATATCCTATTAAACGTCAGGGAATGCATGCGCCATATTCGTTTAACTTTTTTCCCTTGGATTGGATTGGAACTGGGACCGTTCCTTTGCCCTCGTCTGGCGGAAGACTGAGCTTTTCCAGCCCAGTACCTTATAGAACTTCTGGGAGGTTCAAGGTCAACTTGTACACATCCGACTACTAGGTCGTTCTTTGGGTTGTGGCTTGTTGGGTTATAATCACCTGTCATTTCGACTGCACCTACCCAGAAAAAGATCTCGTCGGGATATTACTGGCTCGCGACTCGCTTGCTCTGTCGCCAGCTGAGAGCTTCAAGGAATGGAATCTGGCCACGATCTGGCAGGCCACCCGCCACAGTCAGGCCAATCTACACCTCCCGACTCACACCCAGCCGAGCCGGGGTCTGTGCCCTTGCCTGGTGCACATGTTGAAGCCGAGCAACAATCGACTGAAGACAGTGCCGCACCCGTCGGCGGAATCGAAAATCGTCGCAGTGCCTCCCCCGCCTCTGCAAATGACCCGGGCCAAGCGACCGTCGCAGCGCCAATAGAGAGCCAATATGGTCACATAACCAACGTCGGCGCCGACCGCCAGCCCGCACAGGCACAGGGCAACAGTAGTAATGCTGACCCTTCGGATCGTGTCTTTCCCATTAGATCTGTCGTCAGCGTCGATCATTCTCGTCCGGCGCCTTGGGTGCTCTCGCGCGATCCCACCGATGTCGACTATTTCCACCGCCCCGAATCTACCTGGGACGGTAGCCGTCGCCCAAGCGTACCCCGCGTCACGACCGATGTCTCCACCCTATCCCGCCGATCCGGCAACCAGCCCGCATCCCCGCAACTAGCCCCTACGCGCTCTAGGAAGAATACGCTCACTAGCCCACCGTTGGCCGGCCCGCGGCTAGCCGATACGTCGAGGCTCCAATTCTTTAGCGACAGCGCTTCGAATGCGTCTGACCGGACGAGTGTCCGCGGGGCTGCGTCCATGGTGGGGGAAGCCGAAGAGGGCAGTGAACCTGCTTCGGCCATTAACGACTCCCGAGTTGAATTGAACGAGGCGCTGATGACGTCTCGTTTTCGGCATGTCGTGACAGAGGATGGCCACGCCGTCATCACCGGTCGCGAAGGAGAACTGCAGCGTTGCGAAGACGAACCCATACACACGCCCGGGGCTGTGCAAGGATTCGGCGTCTTGGTGGCTTTAAAAGAGGAAGGAGACGGCAGACTCGTTGTTCGAATAGTGAGCGAGAACTCGAAACTAGTGCTCGGCTACTCGCCACAAGAACTGTTCAAGCTTGACTCTTTCACCGAAATCCTCTCCGAGCAACAGGCCGACAACTTACTAGACCACGTCGATTTTGTCCGAGACGAGGAGCCCGACCCCTCAGCACACGGGCCTGATGTCTTCAGCATATCTGTCAAGCCGCCTACCGAGAAGTCGATCAAGCTATGGTGCGCCATGCATACAAGTGAAAGCCATCCGGATCTGATTATTTGCGAGTTTGAGCCGGAGGACGATCAACGATACCCCATCCGACCGCCCGACGAGGTCACGCCGGAAGAGCCCAAAGACACGCTCTACCAGACCCCGACTCCCGCCGAGTTCCAAGAGAGCACTCAGGTCCGGAGTAAGCCTCTCCGTGTACTGAGAAGCGCACGTAAGAGGCGGGGCGAGGCGGGAGCCATGGAGGTTTTCGACATCATGTCTCAGGTGCAAGAGCAATTATCGGCAGCGCCGGATCTTGATACCTTCTTGAAGATACTTGTGGGCATCGTCAAAGAACTCACCGGATTCCACCGTGTGATGATCTACCAGTTCGACGCAGCCTTCAACGGGAAAGTGGTGGCGGAATTGCTCGACCCTACCAAGACGCGTGACCTATATCATGGGCTGCACTTTCCTGCATCCGATATCCCCAAACAAGCCCGAGAGCTCTACAAAGTGAACAAGGTGAGGATACTCTACGATAGGGACTTGGAGACGGCGAGGTTAGTCTGCCGCACCGTGGAAGATCTGGAACGGCCCCTCGACCTCAGCCATGGATATCTCCGAGCCATGTCTCCCATCCACTTGAAATACCTTGCCAATATGGCTGTCAGATCCTCCATGTCCATCTCAATCAATGCCTTTGGCGAGTTGTGGGGTCTCATCGCCTGTCATAGCTATGGCCACTACGGGATGCGTGTCAACTTCCCCATTCGCAAAATGTGCCGGCTGGTGGGCGATACCGCGTCCCGAAACATAGAGCGCCTTTCCTACGCCTCACGCCTTCATGCTAGAAAGCTGATAAACACGATGCCAACTGGCCAGAACCCGTCTGGCTACATTATCGCTTCGTCCGAGGATCTGCTTAGACTGTTCGACGCAGATTTCGGCATGTTATCCATAGGTGACGAGACCAAGGTACTCGGCAAGATCGAGCAATCGCAGGAGGCACTGGCTATGCTTGAATACCTCCGCCTTCGACGATTTACCTCTGTCATAACTACCCAGGATGTCACCCAAGACTTCCCAGACCTTCGGTATGGGCCCGGCTTTTCAGTCATTGCCGGTCTACTATATGTGCCCCTTAGCTCTGGCGGACAGGATTTCATCGTATTCTTCCGTAAAGGTCAGATCAGGGAAGTGAAATGGGCAGGAAACCCATATGAAAAGGTGATCAAACAAGGCACGGCTGACTATCTTGAACCTCGTTCGAGTTTCAAGGCATGGAACGAAACTGTCATAGGCAAGTGTAGAGAATGGTCGGAAGAGCAAGTAGAGACCGCTGCGGTTCTCTGCCTAGTCTACGGTGAGCACTGAGCACGATGCCCCCACCCCCCTTTTTGGCTATATCACTAGCACCACAATCTGACCCAGAGTAGGGAAATTCATCGAAGTTTGGCGGCAGAAGGAAGCAGCGCTGCAAAATAGCCGGCTTACTCGACTTTTGTTGGCTAATTCGGCACATGAGGTCCGTACCCCTCTGAATGCCATCATAAACTATCTAGAGATCGCTCTAGAAGGATCACTCGACACGGAAACGCGCGAGAATCTGGCAAGGTCCCATTCTGCTTCCAAGTCACTCATCTATGTAATCAACGATCTCCTTGATCTCACCAAAACCGAAGAGGGACAAGAGTTGATCAAGGACGATGTGTTGGACCTGCCGGCCTGTATTACCGAGGCTACGAAGGCGTTCGAATCGGATGCTCAGCGCAAAGGAATTTCTTACCAAGTCATCCAACATCCGGGGCTTCCGAAATATGTCCATGGCGACTACCGTCGAGTGAGACAGGTCATGGCCAACGTGACGGCAAACGCCATGCAACACACGACGGAAGGGTATGTCAAAGTGGAAGTCTTTGTGGTCGAGGTACTCGAGTCCAAGGTTCGTGTTGAGATTACCGTGGTCGATACAGGTTGTGGCATGAGCAACGAAAAGCTTGAAAACCTCTTCCAGGACCTGGAGCAAGTTAG